TGAACACTGGAGACAGCTGATCAGCACAGTGCTTCAGGGTGGATGGGGAGACAGAGTCCGGCCCAGCTGCTTTGCGAGATTTCTGCCTCCAGAAAAGCCCGTTGACTTCCATCTCTGTGATGGAGAGAGAAGGGGAGTGGGTGGAGGTGGCCAGCTCTGAGGAGGGAGGGGAAGAAGTGGTGGACTGAGGCTGAAGCTGAGCGGAGGAGTCACAGGGGATGGTGTCAGATTGACTCACAAAGCGGCAGTAGAACTGGTTCAGTTCATTTGCCAGGCGAGAATCGTTTATGGAGTGGAGGACTTTGGGTTTATAGTTTGTGATCTGTCTTAACCCCCTCCAGACAGAAGTGGCATCATTTGAAGAGAACTGATTCTTAAGTCTCTCTGAGTACAGTCGTTTAGCTTCTCGCACCTCCTTGCTAAACAATGGGTGATGTCATAGTGGCTACGTCCACTTCTTTTGTACTTATTTTATATATTTATATGGGTGGGTGTGGGCACCAGAGGCTCATGCTCAAATGCATCCTGCAGGAGAACTCAGCTTTCTCTGTCAATTTAACATGCCCTGAGGAATTTATTGCTTCAATTGACTACATTCTGACTGGACATCTTTATAAAAGGTGCTGAATTTCCCCTTTAAGGTAATTAAAATAAGGAAAATGTTCTTTGTTGGGAGTTGCACATGCGCAGTTCCTTGTATATATACAGCAATACCTGTATGTTATGTGCTATCTGACTACAAACTTCTTAACACCAGCTAAAAGTCAAGACTCTCAAGGGACTTGTGAGCTTTCCAACCAATGAGATACCCCAACTCCCCGATTACTTGGATGCACAAGTTATAAACTTGTTTAGTGTCAGGTACCTGGAGGAAGCCTCTTTCTGAACATCTCCACTCTGCCGGCCTCTTTCTGCTATGGCCCATGGGATTGTCTGCAGGGGGAAAGAAAAGGAGATGAAGGACACAGAAGAGAAGAAGCCTTAATTGTGAGGAGAGGCACTGAGGAGAGAGGAAATGAGAAGGACACAGAAGAGAGAAGGTTGAAGTGGTTATAAAAGACGAGGTGAAGTGAGAACCACAAAAACAGATATTTTCTTCTTCAGTGTCACATTCTGAGAACGTGTTCACCTTTTAAAAAAGACAATGAGCACGCCTGTATTTAAGTCTACTTACTGTGATGTCTTTTGTTGTTTCAGGGTGTGAAAAACATGTATTTGCCTCACAGAGAGAAGTGAAAAACAATCTGGCATACAACTGTTACACAACAGCACACACACACACACACACACACGGTTGTTCCTCTATCTATGGGGACATCTCATAGACGTATACCTAGCCCCTTACCCTAACCTTAACCATCACAACTACACGCAGAACCTTAACCCTTAAACACTAAAAGCAGCCTTTTAAACGTGTGGGGTCCAGAATTTTGGTCACCACAAAGCTGGTCGGACCCCACAAATACACACACACACACACACACACACACACACACACACACACACACACACACACACACAAGACCATCTCTCGTCTCAGTGTTTTACAGCCATAATGAGGAAATGACATTCAGCAGAGAGCTGCATCTGTCTCTGTAGCAGTCTGGGGACTGGTGGCTCGGGCCAGATCCACTGTCAGTCTCCAGTGGATGAGAAAGAGTAATGGAGTGGTATTTTTCCTCTTCTTCTCTTTTGTCTCTTCTTACTTTCCCCTCTGCACTTGTCTCCTTTCTTTCCATTTATGCTGACCTGTCATATTACACACCTCACTGCTTTCACTTTTATCTTTATATTCAAGTAGAGAGGCAGAAAAATGAGAGATGTGGTTGCAGAGGTGAGGTGTTGTACATCTTTGTCTCTGGTTTGTAGTGCATACTAGAAGGTACAAACAGTATGGCAGACGGGCTCAAGGCAGCGAGCCTCCAATCAATACTCCTGAGACAGAGCTGCTCTGCCTCTCTCCATGCGAGTTGGGCCGATCAGCTTTCACCTACAGTTTCTAGCATCGTCTCTTGCCCTGTCATACAGTCTTCTCTTTCATTGCATGCTCTCTACACTGTATACCACTTCTTTTTCAATCGAATAGAGACTATGGAATGAGAATGAGAGTTGTTTGCCATGTTCTCTCACCTCTCACCTCTCTTCAAGCTTTCAGTTGCCGAGTCCCTCCCTCTCTTTTGCTCTCCATCTTCGGCTGGCGCCTTGTATAGCCTGTATACCTGCACTGCCCTGAAATAAAGCCTGGCAACCCGGGGAGTGAGACCAGGGACACACTGAATATCTGAGCACCTTTCTCGACGTCTGGGCAGAGTTCCTTTCATGTCTCTCACTGGAGTCTGGCTGAAGTTTTAGAGGATTTGGAGCAGAAAAAAACATGCAACACCAAATACGTGTACTGCATTTAATATTCCTGTAGAGTCAGTTGGTGTGTCTGCAGTGCTCCTAGTTTATTTTACACTATTTTCTAATCTCTGCAGTTGAAAGCTAATATACTGTAGAATAACTCTTGTTGTTGTACACTTCTTGAGTGCCAGAAAATACATTTATGGTTAGATGGGCTATATAACCCTCTGGATCTGATGAACCCAGGGGAATGGCTGAAAGGCAGCCTTTTGTTTTATTTTTTAATAATTACTCAGTGTCTGCTGTGTTCAGCTTTGTGTATGCTATACAGTACTTTGTCCTCACATAACAATAAAGTCTGTTGATGTTAACCTCAGGGTATTTTACGGGTTTGTCAATCTCCTCTACTACTGTATTAAATATTTTTCTGATACCTGCATGACATCCTTTTAAAATAAACTTCAAGCTTACTGTAAGCCACTAAAATACTTTCATAAGGAAGGAAAACCAAACTGAAACATTAAAGACTAAAATAACTCTAACAAAGTTAAATCATTGTGTCATTGGCCTGCTCTGAAGGCTGGTTGTTTATGTAAATAGAACTTAAATTAATAGGGGAAGTATTTTACAGGGCCCCCTCTGACGTACTACTACACTAATTAGACTACTTTTGTCACTATCCCAAGAAAGCCAATCAACAAACTGAAACAACAAAAGAGAAAAACACTAACAAAGTTAGACCACTATGAATTTGGCCTGCTTTGAAGGCTCTGTATTTTTTGAGGAGGAATTAATTTACAGAGATTTTATTTTCCACCGATATACTAACATAATATATACATTTAGATTCTTGTGGTATCTGCATGAAATGAAATAAAATGAACTAAGGTTGTAGGTCACTTTCATAAGGAAGCGCCTAACAACAAAGTGAAAAAAACAAAAGACAAGCAAAACTCTAACAAAGTTAAACCAGTATGTAATTGGCCTGCTTTTAAGAAGAAATTGAATTGCACTCCATAAACCTCTGTTAGACACCCATTAGAGGAAATGCAGTGATGTCTGGAGTCACTAGTGACATGAATAACTTTCACTTTGACTTTGGGAAAATGTTATGACTAATTCCAGGTTTAGAAACCCCAGAAACTAAGAGCTGCGTCTACTGTATGAACGGAGCTTTAATGTAAATCACACTGCCTGGCGCAGTAATAAGAGCTGAACATTTCACAACGAAAACCGAGACATACATCAATACTTTCAGCTGGTAAAGACTGCACAGCATACTGGCCATGCATGGTGGGGGCGGCTAACCACACACAGCTCAGGAAACGCAAACATACCTTTTAAATTTGGCGTTATAAATATGTTTCTGGTGGAGGCATCCTCGCTGCTCCTTGTGTCGAGGTCATGATGGGGTTTCGGGCTTGAATTGGACGAACTGGCCGTGATGAGACGCGGCCACTGAGGTGGGAGGGTGAAGCAGGAACCCGGGATGCGCTGGAGCCACCGTGTCGAGGTGAGGGAGGGTTTGGCTTCGGCCAGGGGTGAGGAGAGAGGACGGGGAGGAGGAGGGGCTGCACCTCCGTCACCTTCTCCACCTCTATCTGAACCTTCTGCACTCAGGACCTTAAAGCACTTTCACTGAGAATCTGACATCTTGCTCTGCAGTGGCAGTGTTTGGTTATTATTATTATTAGAGCACAACGTAAAAAAACAGAAAACAAAACAATACTTTCTATTGTTTTAAACCTAATTAAAACCGTTTAGGCCTATAATACTTTTTTATCTAGGCCCTACACCGAAAAGTCATCGATGCTTTTAACAACCTGAACACTCTTATTCCGCATTTTTCAGTAGCCATGTGCTTTTCTTTCCTTTTGTGTCATACCGCCCTCTACTGCTTTGTCAGAACCATCTGCTCCAACATCTGTTCACAGCTCATCTGCATTATTCACAACATCATGCAAAAAAAAAAAATTAGTAAAAATAATTCATCAGTTTAATTGTAATCATACTGATAGTGTCTTGCATTTAATGGACTACAATAGATCTTCTATTAAGGTCAAAGGAAAATCCGTTTCTATTGTTTTAAAGATGTAACTTTAAGTATCAGTAAGTAAGCAAGCCACATAGATGCTATGTTGTTAAACTTACCACATATTTATTTAACCTAATTTAACTTTCAAACATGTAGCACACAGACATATATTAATACATTGGATTTTCAAAATTCTAATTACATTATTGTTTAAAAATATTGTAGTATGCAGAGATATGCTCATATAGGACAGAATGGCCCTAGGAGCTGCAGAGCAACCCACCAGAACTAACAGACAAAATCAGAGAGAAAATCAATTTGTTTAGAAGTTTTTGTTTCCTTTAGGTTATTGTTTGAATCAAGCATTTTATTATCCAAACTGTATTGATGACATAGGCTAAGCCAAGAACATTGGGGGGAGATGATTAAACATTTTAATTCTGTGACCATAGGCACATCAAATCAGGAGCAGAATAGTCTAATATATTTTGTTAAATTGTGGGCTTAGCACCATAGCTGGCAAATTGCCTTTTCCTGTTAATGCACTTCTGACCACTGTGTGGAATAGTACAATGGACTGGGGCAAATGTGTAAAAAAATTCAAAGGTTTGAAGAGTAATATTTCGAGAAAAAAATAAAATGCCACAATGTTTAAACAATTCAGCAGCAAAAAGAGCAGTTTTCAGGTTTAGTATGTAAAAATAATAACTAGAATTGTAATTAAGAGTGACTCTGATGTTTTAAATTTTAATTAAATCAACTTAACATATGCTCAATATTCATTATGACATTTCATAAAAAAGTATATACAGCTCAGTAATATAACCAAGAATAAATTAATATTCTAAAGAATACAGACATCAATGTAAACAGCGTTATCACACAACAATCAATATCTCTTTCAGCTGCCTCCAGCCCTACTAGCTGTGATTAAAAGCTCACTAGAGCTCATGCAGTATAATAAAAGATATTCCTGTTATTTCAGAGATTTGCGCACATCTTCACAGTGGCTAAGCTCAGATATTCGCTTCTTCTTTCTCACAGCCAGATTACTGTCTAAAAAAGCACATTATACAGTAACACTTAAAAATTTGCAGCCTTTAACTCTACTCCGTTGTCCCACGTGGTGCTGGGCTGCTTTATTTTGTCACTGATGGTGGAGAGAGTGGAGAGGCTCTCAGGGAGGTCTGGGTCAGGCAGGTGCCAGTCGATGAAGACCAAATACATGAAAGTACCTATAACACCCCCAATAAGTGGGGCCACCACGGGTACCCAGAACCAGTAGTTGTAACACCTGGGGAACAGACACGCAGATCAACATCAGAAAGGACTTCAGATGAGAGCTTTTCTGTTGACCAAGTGCTTATTCTCCAGCATTGAGATGTGAAAAGCCAAAGGATTGTAAGATCATAGCAACAGGTTGCATAGTGGATCAGCTCCTTTGATAACGCAGAACGGCTCCAAAGTCTGATAACCTCTGACTTGCATAGTTTCTTGAGTAACACAAGGTCAAATACCTGAAAGAATATAAACTGTGTCCCTCTTAAAATGTTTGAAAGTTGTAAGTGTTAAGTGATAAGATAGTAAGATTCTTACGTGAAAACCTCAGTGCCCCAGCCTGCCGTCAGTGTAAAGAGGCGTGGCCCCAGGTCCCGAGCAGGATTTATTGCACCACCACAGTTAGCTGACATTGACATGGAAATCCCCAAGACAATCACTGCCACTATAGGAGGAAGCAGATCAGAGGGAGCCGGAGTATTCCTCTTTTCACCCAAACACAGGATGCACAACATCAGCATGCCGGTGCCCACTACCTAATGAAAAGTATAAATGCAGCAATTCAATAAAGGAACAGCTGTTAAAGTACTGATTAAATGTTACACAAATCATCACTCTTACTTGGTCAAGGAAACTTCTGCTCAAAGTCATGTACTCTGAGGGGTATGTGGCAAAAATAGACGCTGTCTCGTTTGGGCCGTACACAGTCAGTAGTCCTCCACTAAACTCCATTATAGCATCTGATACAGAAACAGAGGTAATGTAGCAAACAACAAATAGATTTGCAAATGTGTTCTACAATGAGCCTCCTGAATAACTTCAATACAATGTTTGTATTAGTACCAGAAAAACTAACCATAGTAGACCAGGTAGACAAGCCCTGACGCCATGTACGCCCCAAGCATCTGGGAGAGGCAGTAGGGCAACAGACTTCCCCAGGGCACTTGGCCTAACACACAGAAGCTCAGAGTCACCGCTGGGTTCAGATGAGCACCTACAGAGAAAAATAGGACGTGGAGCGAGAGAGAGACAGAAGTGAATTACAGCGAGAAAGATTTGAAGGTAATGAAATCTCAGATTATTTGTAGTGTGTCAACTAAGAGTAGTTGTATTCTGGAAGATATTAGTCAGAGGGAAGGCACTGATAAGCTGGACAAGGCCTCTCTGCACAGGTATTACTGTAATAAATCATGTCAGTGAATGAATGCAGTAATGGAAAAGTCATAACTCAGAGTGTGAGACATCAAAATAAATACTGAGGTTGTATTTTACTACATGTTAATCATTCCAGGATACCAGTTGATGGTTAGTGTCCATGTAAGCTTTTTTGTTTGTTTTTTTTACCTGAGATACCCTTGGTGAGGTACATAGCTGACATCACACCCACAGAGAAGGCCATGTTGACTGACAGGAACTGGCCTTTGGTCTCTCTGCTTGTCTTCACCTGGGCTGCAGCAGCGCAGCCAAAAAGCTTCACAACAGATTAAGGGGATGGAGTGATTGGGAGAAAACCCCAAAAGTCAGGATAAATATTGTAAATTTGAGGGGAACAAGAAACAATCCTTCCATGGCAAAAAAATTCAGACACTAAAGCTCACTTCACACTGATACAGGCAAAAATACATTTTGTAATTCCTTATTGCTCTCATGATTGATCAGTTATTTATAAGTCAAACAAAGTTATCAGTTAACAAAGACACATTTGAGATCATTAAATGTAATTAGAATTAACTTAGACTTTGTAATGCAACCGTCCACTTCTTATCTAAATGGCCATATAACAATCCATCTGACTCTGAACCGCACAGATGAGAGAAGTAAAACACACATTTATTTGATTGAGTTTCTGATTAAACTTTATGGGCAATAACTCCCTAATTGACCTTGCTGTATTATGTATTTATTAAAGTTCCAGGGCACATAAAAGCAAGTTATGGTCTTGTAACAATGACTGTAAATAAAGACAAAGACATATACATAAGGTTTCTGGCAACAGTAGTTGAATGTGCTTGTGAATGATGACAGGTGGAAGGCCTCTATGGATAATAATGTAAATCCAACATGGAATCATGTTTATTAATTAATTTCAACATTACATTGGATTTCTAAGTTATGTATTGAAACTGTATTATTTTACAGATCTTGTGATGGCAAAATTGTGCTTTTATTAGTTCATGAATGTTTTGTATACATCTGACTTTCTCTCTTAGTGGGAACACAATACAGTAAACTGAAATAATTAAAATGGGGGTCAAGAAATATCCTCACCACCCTAAATCTTAACTGTTAATCTTCAATAGTAATCTTAAATCCCAAAATCACCTTGATTCTAGAAAGTGGTTTAATAATTTACCTTTGCATCTTTGAAAGCTGTCTGTACGGGGCTTCAACATTTCACTTGTGGTTCAAGTGTCAGTTGTGGACAGTAACTAAGTACATTTTCTCAAGTACTGTACTCACTGTAGAAATTTGAGGTATTGTACTTTTAACTCCACTACATTTAGCTTTAGTTACTTCACGAATTAATATTTTTTACACACAAACAAATGAAGAGTGTTTAAAACATGCTTTGTTATAATTAAAAATACCCAACAAAGTACAGCTGGAACAAAAAAAGTCAATTGACAGAAAAATTTAGGTTTGGACAAGCATTGTAATTATCACTGGGCTCTGGGTAATTGTGACATAATTGCACATTTCTCGCTATTTTTTAACAAAGCAATCAATCAATCAATTAATGGAGAAAATAATCAGCAGATTAATGCATTATGACAATAATCATTAGTTGCAGTCTGAATCAAAATAGTTCAAAATTAGCTACACCTCAACCAACTGCAACAGTAAAATCCTGCGTTCATGTGGAAGTATTAATAATCTAATGATATAATATATAATAGTATCACAGTCACATGGGACATTTTTCTGCATTGAGTACTTTTTCTTTTAAAGCTTTAGGTACAATCGCACAACACAGTGGAAGCCAAATGATTATGAGAGAAAATTGTGTTAAAAAAAGCCACGTCTATAAAAATGATGGAATTCTTACATGTCTAACTTCACCTCTCTTATTATATATTTTTATTTTTCACTATGTCAGTTAAAGAAACTGCAAATTCAGTGTTGATCTAGTTAGTACACAAAAAGCCAACTAGTGTGAGTGTCACTTACCAGCAATACAAATGTTCCCAAGAACTCAGCCAAGCACTCTCGCACCAGGGCATTCCTCACCTTCATAACACGTTGCTTCAACATAGCTGGAGTTAAATCCCTGTTCTCATCTCACACTGAACCCTGTTGCTGTTGTCAGACAGACTAGCTGTTGGGCTCTCCGTCTGTCCAGGAGCTGATGTGGTGGTGTCAGTGAAGGAGGTGTCAGTGCTGACGACAAAAAGAAGTTTTCACCTTAGCATCAAAGGGCTGTGCACTGTATCTCTCCTCTCCACTTCTCTGCATTCTCCTTCCACACAGCTGGTAAAAGACTATTACTCATTTATTGGGTTGTCACACCTCAGGATTTGCTGGTTCAGAGAGCAAAATGCACCTTAGCTATTAGAGGTTGCTTACATGAGCAGATGCCATAAACAGTCCGATTATGTGTTAACAGCAATAAGCCACAGAATCGGAATATATACAGATGTTTAGTAAATCATCAATCTGTGTCCATGTGAGAAACAGCCACACTTAACACTAACATACTGAATAAATAAGAATACACCATGTCTATTATCACTCAGCCCATCAGCACAACAGAGATATACATTATGACTTCCTTCGTCGCAATAGTTGCAATACACCAAAACTTCATAAATGTCAAAACATTGGTGCATATTACATACATAACAATGGCTTTGCATACAACAGTTTAGATATGCTGTATTAAAGAACCAATATGCCTGAATAAACCACCAGAACCCGGCTTAAACGTGTAGGATAGATGTTGAAAATACAAATGTGAAAACTGATCTCATGTATTTGAAGTCCAAAAATCATTAGACTGTAAATATATGTACAAATTTTATTATAACTGGTGTGGTGAATGTTGGCTAAGGTGGTTGATAGGGAGGCCCCTCTCATCATCAGAGAGCAAGATGTTACTGTAACCTGTCTCACTGAACTCTGGACTCCTAATAGGTTATGCAACCCAAATAATTGCTGTGTAAGAGTAAAGACCTGCATTATTGCTGATAATTTTTAGAGAGGCACTTGATTGTGGCATGAAAATGTGATCAGATAAGATATAAAGGGCACCATGACTGTTTGACACACAAAGTCAGTTCTGCATCCTCACTGGCGAAAAGGCTTTGATTTCTGTCTTTTTTCCTGCTCTTTCATCTGAAGACAGACTGGTAGGCTTTATTTTAAGTGTGGTAAAAGTGAAGTAATGACTATCTGTCCATAACATAAACCATGACATAGTGCATGGAGAGAGTGAGCAACAGATTATCTTATCATATCTACTTTTTAAGTATCACAGATTGGTAATGTATAAAAGGACAGAAACCTTTACCCCACTGCATTTTCTAAAAGAAAGATTATATCATGTCACGCTATCTCCCTCTGCTGGACATAAGAATCAAAAACCATCACTTTAAGTTAGGATTTATTAAAAAGCAATAAAAACTCTAAATGCAGTTAGCTTCTATTCACAATATATTACAACATGTATTCTCATTTACAGGGGCCACATTATGGCTTTTTACCAACCGAACTAATGTTACAAAGATTGGTTGACTTGATAAATATAATTGCTGTCAGTGCATGTACAGAAATATTTCAAGCGTTGAGGTAGATGTAATCCTGTAGAACTGAAGGAAGATACATACTTTTGACCTGGTATCCAAGATTATATTTCCTTTAGGGCTTTGTTATAAAGACTAAAAAAATATATAGTTTGAATGGCAAATGGCGCAAATAACTCGCTTAATTTAAGTATTTCATGTTCATTCACTGAACTTCAGACCTCAGTAATTCTCATGTTTTCGGATGTCTAAGTGTGCGACGAAGCACCACGTCCACAGGTCCGGGGGCCAGTCTCCTGATCAAAGTCCAGGCCTCTAGGCGTCTCATCCCAACCACGCTCACACCCCCAATCTCTACAACTTCATCACCAGGAAACACCTTGTCAACAGGACCTCCTGAAAGGGAAAACAGTGGAAAGGGAACATTCGATAAACAGCTTTAATGAACGAGACTCAAAGTGGTCATCATGAAAAGGTAATACAGTATGTGTATGGTAATTAAATTTGGCATATTAATTCTGATAGTGTTGCTAAAAGTTTGATTAAACCGACAACAAAACTGGCATTGTAAAGGCATTACGATGGATTTCTTTCCCCATTTAATTTGGATGTAAAATAACCTGTATAATTTAATAATCCAACATTTTATAGTTTTTACTTTATTTGAGAAGATACTGTAAGTTACACTATATGTGGACACCTGTCGTCATATTTTTGTTTACTTTTTGTCTGGGCTTTTTCTTGGTTTGGGCTCGATGAAATAAAATCAGTTATGTGCTTTTCTGTTTTGACATGACTGTGATCCTGTGCACAAAGTGTAGATCCACTCACATAATTTTCTGAGTTAGTAGTGGAGAAGCTTGAATGTCGCACAGGGTGCCCTGACCTCAACTCCATTCAACACTGTCGGGATGAATATTGATGGCAAGCTAGGTCTTATCACCCATTGTCTGCCTCACTAATGCACTTGTGGCTGCTGCTGCTGCATTAATGCTCGTGGATTTGGAATGAGCTGTTCAACAATAACACCAGAGTGCAAAGTTCAGGTGTCCACATACTTTTGGCCATCTAATGTATATTATGTTGACCTGTTTGAGTTCAAATCCCTGCATTTCTCTGTGGTGATCTGAAATACTGAGCTTCAGTTCTCACCATGGAAGATCTTTTGCACAGTGAGTGGTCTGTTCTCCGGACTGGAGCCCACACCTCCCTCCAGGCTGAAGCCCAGATCCCTGCTGTTCTTCTCCAGATGCACACACACATGTTGACCTGAGAGAGGAGAAAAATCAGAAAAACGGAGATAGAGTTAATCACGTTAAACTGCTGCAGGTTTAGGACAAATATGTTTTCAGAACTTTGGTAAAGTAAAACGTTTCACCTGTCTCTGTGAACTGAGTCTGCGTTGGTCCCTGATTATTTGTCTGCACTCCCCCCTTAGAGACATTGTAAATGCCTCCCCTCCTCAGGACCACCACCCCTAACTCCCGAGTCTTTGCTTTTCTCAGGACCCTCAAGGCCTCCCAGTGGGCATAGCCACACAGTGCTGTGCCATTGATTGACAAGACCTGGTACCCTTCCCTTATGGAGCCTTCCTGGGCTGCAACACCTGAGTGAAACACTTTGTGAACCTGAAAAGAAGGCATCGAGAGATAATTGAGAAAGAGGCTGAGGACAATGGATTTAGATATTTTTCATGAGAAATTAAATATCTTCCTCACAGTGACTGGCTTGTTCTGGTCCACGCCGCCTGCCAAACTGAAGCCCAGTCCTACTCCCACCTCCTTATGGAGAACCACCACCTGCACATCGTCATAATCCTTCAAGAAGGGAAGATAGAAAGAAGTTGTGGTTATACTCTTGATGTTTTTTCTGAATATATGTCTGATCATGTCAAAACAAAACAATGGGAAATACTGGAACAGTAACTGGTGAGCTGTAAAGAACTTTATGACAGATGTAATGTAATCCAGTTTGACACAGGTTAATGCCAAGCTAAAAAGGGGCCATTGAAATGACTAGCCAGAGAAAGACTGTTGGTTCAGTATCACAAGTTTAAGGCCACAGCAAAGCCTGTAAAAGTTACTGATGCCCAGCTGTTTGTACCTGCAGGTTGCTGTCCCCCAGGCTCCTGACATCCTCCAGCAGCCTGTCGAGCTCCTCACTGGGCATCACAGACACACAGGACAGGGCCGACGCATCTGAGCTCAGAGAGGCAGTCCGCTGGCATGTAGATTGCCACTCATCGCTGTCATTCTCTGACTCATAGTCAACTCCAGCAAAGTTACAGAGGTCTGACAGACTACAGGAAGGAAAGACAAGATTTCAGACGGTTAAAAATGGACCAGTTGTTGGAAGGAATACCTCCATCAAACCAGAAATCGGATCATATAAAAAGCACACACCTGACACTGAAGCTCCTGTGATCTGACTGGCTCATGTTACTAGTAATGGTCACAGAGGACTCTCCAGAATCTGAATCATAGTTTGAATCCTCATCCTTCTGTGTACTATCATCATCATCATCCTCATAATCATCTTCGTCATTCCAGACCTTAATCTTTGTGTTCAAGCCAGCAACCCAAGCATTCATGTCCAACGCCGGTTTCTTCCTATTTGGATGGGCTGCTTTGACATCTGGAGAGATGAGATCAGGGAGGTTGCTGTGAGACAAAGTGGTGAGGGGACGAGAGAGAGGTTGGGGTTCTGGTTCTGGAGTACTGGCTGCTTGTGTGTGGACAGAAATGCTTTCATTTTCACTGTCTGCAAAGGGAGTGGCGTTTTCCGGCTGTGCGGCAGGTGAACAAATGGCTGAGTGGTTTGGAGTGTTTGTTGGAGTTTTCTCTTCCTCACAAATAGGTAACATAACGCTAGGGACAGCGGTTTTCTGCACACCGGTGGAAGTGTCACCGGAGTTGGACAGAAGTGAGGATGGTGGTCTCTCGCATGTCTTCTCAGGGCTTGAGACTTTGGAGAAATCTGTCTCATCTATGTAAAAGTTTCCGCTGCATCTTTGAGCTCCTCCATTTAGTGGCATTTCTTGTGCAGTCTTGAGTCTCGAATATTTACCAAAATCTTCAGTGCAGTTTTTACAGTCATCTGTTTCTTTTACTTCATTATTCCATTCTCTCTCTTTCCTCCCTAATGCTAGTCCAACCTCGTCCACTGATAAAGACCTTTCTGATCCCAGCTTCTTTCCTGCTCCTGTCACTTTCTCCTCAGTTATCTCACCTGCCTCCCCTCCCTCTTTCAGTCCCTCCCACTTGCCTCTCAATGCATCTATCACTCTTGCTGACCCACTCTTTTTAACTCCATCATATGCACTGCTGAGTTTTGTTGGCACAGACAAGGCCCGTCTGGACATCAGGACCTTTCCTGTAGTCAAACCCTGGGATCTCTGTGTCAGAGCCTCAAACTGATTGATCTTATTTCTCACACTGGCTGCAGAGGGGCCTGACACTATATCTTGGCATTTCTTCTTCTCTATTGTTTTCAATGTGATTTTCTGTGTTGGCTCAAACACATCTTCATCACTGATAGCCTCAGCCTTCAATTCAGTTTTTTGTTTTGGTCCGTCATCGGTGTCTTTCTCTTTTTCCTGTTCTTTAAGTCCACCAGTTCTTTCTCTCAATGTCCCATTAATTCCATTGGTCTCGCCCTTTTCCTCTCCATGGTTCACCCTGCCCTGATCCTTACTTCCACTTGCCCTTCTGTCTCTCACTCCAGACGAATCTCTCATGGAAACCGATCTCTCTTCTTCTAAGAAAGTGTTTGATTGTGGAGCTGAGGCAATTCCTCCCACAGCCCTTGCAGATGTTATCTGAGGTGCTACAGTCCACCTGCTCCTTGCTCCATCCAGAGACCTCGTGCTGATTTCCTCTGATCCTCTTCCCGAGTGAACTCCCCCTACCTCTGAATACCTGCCCCGGGTGTCTCCTTGCCACTGTTCCCCTGACCATTTCTCCCTGATACTTCTTGTCGCTGGAGATAGTGTCTCAGAAGAGTCTTTTTGTGTCGAGGTGAATGATTTCCTGCTTTGCACTGGACTATGGCTCCTTTTCGCTCCTGATGAGAAACACCTGGGGAACGTTCCCCCTGCTACCCCCTCATATGAAGTCTGTTGTGCTGAAGTGGGGAAGTCTGTGGTAGTTTCTTTGCGATGGGACGTTACAGGGGTGGACAAATCCTTATTTAAGCTGCAATCCTCCGTTTTATCAAAACCAGCTGACCCGTAGAGTTTCTCTATCCGCTCCAGTATACTGTGACCTCCTTTGGGTCCAAACGAAGTAGATGTTCCTCTGACACCAGAGCCTGATCCGGACTGGGACCTCATTCTGGAGGGGAGAGAATTACCCCTACTGGCCCTGTTCAAAGGCTCACTCATGTGACTCACTGGGCTACTCTCTCGCACAACATTACTTGTACCTGGAGAGTTGTAATAGGTCCTCACTCCTTCAATTTGTGTCCGTCTTTCATCCAAGCCTCCACCCTGTTTGCTGATGTTCTCACCTGTTTTGGTTGACAACATGTCAGCCCTTTTTCCCCGGTCAGGGCTTTTTTCCCCTGTTCTCCAATCTAAACTCTTACTTCTACTTGACAGGTTGTGTCTCCTCCACTCTGTCCTGCCCCGGGTTTCAGATATAGGGTTCCCACTTTTGTCAGTGCCAAACCCAGTGGCTGTGTTGTCTGTTGTGCCATTGTGGTTCAGCTTGGTAGACATTTTATAGCCTGATGCTTCCTTCTCCTCACACTGACCTTTGACAGTGCTGCTACTCCCAGTCTTGGCTTCACCAGTGACTGTGCGATTTTCCTCCTTGTTTGCACAATTTGTGCCAGTGTGCGTCCTGGATCTCTCTCTTTCTCCAACTCGGTCAGTACCCTGCCTCTCCTCCTCTGAGAAAACTAGGGGTGTCCTAACACCTGGCCTGCGAGTGAGGCGGTAAGACGGAGAGTTTGCTGAGCGGACAGTGAAGCATGCTCCTGTCCTCTGGTTGTTGCGCTCACTTGATGGAGTAGGGAGCAAGGACAAGTCCATTGTCTGAGAGTAAACAAAGTTAATGACTGCCTGTCAAGTGCCAAATCCCAAAAAGAGAGCGGAAGAGTGAACTTGATATTTAAGAGATTCCAAGCAACTATCTTTTAGAGTTTGAATGCTGCAGTTTTGAGTGTGAAAAGTCCTCCTACTTTCTTGCACAGAAACAAATGGTGCATTAAAAAGTTTGATATTTCAGTGATGCTCCTGATTATTCTTAGTTTTGTGGTCTAGAAGAGATGACTCCTCAGGGCTCCTCTCCTTGATTTCTTGTCGTTCTGCCCCTTCGAGTCTCTGGTTCCCTTGCACGACTTCAGTAAACAGCTCCCATTGCCTGCCAAACATAAAAATATACAAATTTCTATCCTCAGAATGGATTGGGCTGGAATGTTGTGATATGTGGATTGTGGTCGCTCTGGCACCTCGAAATGGTCAGAATCAGAATCATAGAGTGGTTTTACGGCATTGAACACTACATGCTACAGAGAAGTATTAAAGTGTACAGCAAATGGAGGGGCTGAGAAAATGAGCCAGAACCAAAAACACTACAGTCTACTCACTCCGTCAGTCATGTCATTTTGCAACATGTCCCTGCCCTCCTGACATTTCCCTCACAGGGACTCAATGGGCCCATTCACAGAACATTAGGACAGAGAAAATTCACTCTATTGTGTACACATATCATAACGGTTGTTTACATAAGCAACATACTCATGACTACCTGTCAGCCTCTGCTAAACCTGAACCAAAAACTGGAAAAACTCACCTAACGACAATCCTCTTAGCAAAAACAATGTGTTAAAGTGCCACACGTATCGGTCAAAGAATGACAGTGAGTGACTGATACTGATGTAACAGAGGATTCAGGTGAAACAATCAGATAAGATGAACAAAGATGAGGACAATGTCATTTTGATTTACATACAGCCTGCTGAGAGAAAGATAGCATGACTGATGGACAATGGCTCATCAGGGGTATCTGAGTATACAGCCATACACAGTCGGCACTGTCAGTAAGACAGTGAACACATCTTTGATCATTAATTCTGTAAGATGTTAATTTCATTTACAAATACAAAATGTTGATTACTGTCCAAAAACAAAAGGACAAGGGAATTCAATAAGCATTGCGGGCATAATTATACAAAGCTGTTTAGGTTCAGTTTAGATAACGTGTAATTTTGGGGGACAGTCTCTGTGGCGCTTTCCAATGCAGGTGAGTTTGAGTGTCAGTTTACAGAAACACCTGTTCTGCTAGGTCATATAGCCTCCCATCTGGGTAACCCCGGCAACACTGTACAGTATACTTTAAAATAGACACATTTACTCACTCATCTAATCACAAATTAGCTGATTAATCCACTCACACATTCACTCACACAAACGCATGGACCTTACCTTCTGTAATGGTGACTCCTGTGCTTGTCCTACACCACTGTGTTGACACAGGTTCATAATGAAGGCAGCACTGTGTAATGACATCAGCTCCTAGCTCCTGTCTCTCTTTTTTCTCCGTCTCTTGCCATCAGCTTTTCATGACGGACTGTGTACAGTGACGCAAACCTGCCACACTGGTTTGTCCTCTCGTCCGCTCTCATTTTCTTTCTCTCTCTCTCTCTCTGTCTGTGTGTCTGTCTCTCTTTCTCTCTCCTCCCCCTTCCATTGTTGTTTTCTCCCTCTTTTCCTCTTCTCACAGGGTAGCATTCCTGACTTCAGTTTAATGTGTCACTCACTAAATGGCTAAACAGGGAGTGTGCACACACAGACACACACACACACACACACACACACACACACACACACAAAAAACACAACCATGCTTACATATACGCCCTACAGTATACTCAAACTCACATCAGCATTTTATAGCTCAAGGGAGAGGAGATACAGTTTGGACAATTGTGTGAAAAGGAACAAGAGTGTTATTTCCCAGCACAGGCTTATAGTATCAACCCCACCTTAGGCAAAACTGAGTATTATTCATCTGGGCTGAGCAGGTATCAAAATACCTAATAACAGAGCACCTTTAATTGGGACCAGAGAAAACAAAGACCTCATGTAGACCCCATTAATACCAGCAGGGATAAATATTGTTAAAAGTACACCTCTCGTATGACATATGTTCAACAAAACTCATCTCTTCACTTTAACTTTTAACCAGCTATGACTTTCCTGATACAGGCCGGAAACTCCTTTTGTTTCGCTCTTATGCACTGCTGCACATCTTTTAAAATGCTGTATTTCATTTGATTCTATGTATTCTATTTTTTGAACTTTATTATCGGTCCATGTAATTTCTTTGTTGTAAAGCACTTCGGGCTGCATTTCAATGAAGCTGATTATTATTCAAGATCACAGAGAATCTGTGGGACTGTAAGCCTGAAGGAGAAAAGTATATGTGATTGCTGATAGGTTTTATCCACACAGAAGCAGAAGTATTGTTTGTGGGAAAACTGGATTCTGCAGAGTGGGAAGGTCATCAAGCAGACTAGCAAGCAGACATAGCTATATGCAATAAAAATACCAGTACTTACAGTTTTGGTTGGCTTGTAGAGGCTCAAGTTCTTACTGCTGCTTTTTTGTATGCACCTGCTACTGTCTTCCGTTGATAGAGAGGAAACTGTGGTTACCACATCAGCATGCTGCAACTCAAAATAAGGGATGTCTTAAAGTCTCTCTCTGCATGTTAAAACTCAGTACAGACTGATTCAGAAACATTGATTGATCCTGGGCCAAGTCTTAGGATCCAAATAATCCAATCAACCAGCAGCCGTACAGACAAGAGAGCTGGTAGGTTGCATGGTCTTCTCAGGACAGAGATATGTCTGTGAGTAGGGGAAATAGCTCCAGTGCGGCTCCACAGACACCCACCCTTGTTCCTGACAGAAGAATGGCACTCAGTGTCTCTGCAGGATGGATGCAAATCACTGTCTTACTCACACAGACACACTGATTATTTAAATCCATTCTTCGGGCTGTAGGACTCAGAGAACCATGCCGAAGGGAAGTTTATGGTATTTAATCAGCAGGTGGATATAAATAGGCAATTCAATGTCAAACAAAAACTGCAAGAATGTGGGAATTGGGAAACTGAGCGAGTTGATGGTGTGTATCTTTTTTTTAATGAGACTGTTGGAGCTGGAAAACTGCAGGATTCACAGGCCTTTATTTTCTGTCACAGCAGCGTTTCTTTATCATTGGTGTGTGTGTTGAGTTGTTTGTTTGTTTGTTGCGTTGCTGTGATGACGAACAGCAGATGGCAGAAGAGACAAGAGAAACGTCACCTTTTGACGTCACCCTGTCTGTACCGGTCACGTGACTACCGCGGAAGTCAACAAACTAGGCAGCGAAAAGTAAAAACAACTAATGTTAAAAGCACTTTACTTTACTTCCCTGTTTTTTGGCTGTCGTTTAACGTCAGCTTCATGCGTTTTAAAAACGAGCACTTAAATGAACCTGTAACGTTATGCCTCTCAAAGGTCAGCTGTTGGACGTACTTTGAGCCGACGTTTAGCTAGCTTTAACATTAGTTAGGTTAGTAAAAACGCACATTCTCAAAATGTGGAATCTCTCAAGCGTTAACGTGATGCTTGTTATGGCCTATGGAAGTCTGGTGAGTCTGTTTCGCTTTGTTATAAGTCACAATACAATACATATACAGTATTTTACGACAGTCTGGGCTTAACTTTCGCAGCAGTTTCTCTTATCAAAATGTATTATTTTAAAGAGTCAAATTGACTGGATAAATTCTCAGCATTAAACACAAAATACTGTCCTTACATACACTGTGCAAAACAGTAAATCATATGCCTCAGAGTTCAGTGCACATCACAAGACTCCCAGACAGGGAATGAACTTAGCACCTGCCAAATACAATCTAAATGTTGGCTGTGGCAGGTAAAAAGTTTCAGGTCACCTGCCACTAAGTTTAAACTAACTAAATATCTAGCGTACTGTATGTTGTCTTGAATAAAAACACAACGTTTTTGGTGGATTCACAGACATAGTAAAAGGATGCAATTTTCAAGTTCTACTGGGGTGTTAAGTCAGACTTAAAACCTCATTAACTATGTTTTACAGTAGGCCCTAATACAATCATGTTGTGTACTACCCCACCAACATTAATCTGAAAACATTTAAAAGTGATTTTGATGTTTTTCAATTGTTTTTCAATTGTTTTAAGTTTTCTCTCATGTCCATTAAACCTCCTAGAATAATACAACTAGAAACATGCACAAATCTAAGCATTACTGTGTTAGTAACCTGATAATAATCTTTGCAGATTTCCAAATTTATAAAAAAAGTTACAAAGTTAAGCCCTGTTTTTAAAAAGGAAACCCAGCATTCGGTGTAAAAATGTTTTACTTCAGAAAATGCAAAAGCAATTCAATATGATTTTTTTCTATTTAAGTTTATTAATTAATCTATTTACATATTTACTCATTTACTGTGTATTTTGCTTTATATTTTGATTGTGTTTATCACCCACATGCAACTTGTTCACTAATTCAAACTGAGCTATAGCTAACTCTTGACTCTCCTCTAGGTGTTTGTTTTGCTGTTCATCTTTGTCAAAAGACAAATTATGCGATTTGCTGTGAAGTCTCGTAGAGGACCACATGTTCCCCTTGGTCACAATGCTCCTAAGGTAACACTTGCACAACAAGTGCCAGAAGTGTGATGCGGTAAAATGCTTTGCTGGTTTTGCTGATTAAGATTGATAGATAGACAGACAAATACTTTATTGGATGGATCCATGCTTTCATGTTTACGCCAATTTCTGACCTTACCATCTGAATGTGGCAGCTGAAATCAAGACTCATCAGACCGGGCAACGTTTTTCCAATCTTCTATTGTTTGATTTTGTTGAGCCTGTGGTTATTTGAGATGGTTATGTGTGAAAATCCCAGTAGATCAGCAGTTTCTGAAATACTCAGACCAGCCCGTCTGGCACCAACAACCATGCCACATTTAAAGTCACTTCAATCTCCTTTCTTCCCCATTCTGATGCTCGGTTTGAACTTCAGCAAGCTGTCTTGACCACGTCTACGTGCCAAAATGCATTGAGTTGCTGCCATGTGATTGGCTGGTTAGCTATTTGTGTTAACAAACAATTGAACAGGTGTACCTAATAAAGTGGCCGGTGAGTGTATATATTCATACAAATGATGTTATAGCTGGGTATTTCTTGTGTGTGTGTGTTGTAGGATCTGAGGCAAGAAATTGAAGCCAAACTGTGCCTGGTCCAGAAAATCCACTTTGAGCCTCGTCTGCTGTCCCCAGATGATGACCGGCTGCAACCCAGAGAACAGAGTGGTAAACACACACACACACACACACACACACACACACACACACACACACACACACACACACACACACACCATTCCTGTAACTGTCTACATAGTAGTTTTTATACCAATGTACAGAAGAATCTGTTTGTTTGTATATGTGTGTGTCTAATGCAGGTTCCCATGACTACCTGTACAGGATGAGAGCACTGGATGCCATCAAAGACACTGGTAAGCTTTGCTGTCACTGATCTTAGTTTGTCATGAGAGACCCTATCCAGCTGTTACAATACCACCCATACTTTCTGCCAACAGATCTCCCTTTCCGTGAGCTGGGTGGTTCATCCACTGCTGTGACGGGTAAAAGACTTCGGACCTGGCTTCTGCAGCTACGAAATTCCACCTGCATGTTCCAAGATAGCTTAAGCTCCCTCATCGACACGGTGCTGGATGGGTACAGTAAAGCCCGGCATGGGGCCGAGGTCAGTGTGTGTGTGTGTGTGTGTGTTTGTGTGCCAGAGATGTGTCATCTCTCCAAACATCATGACATTGTATTACACACTCACTTATAACAAATTCAGTTTTAAGAGGTGGACAAAATCATATTAGATAAATTCAAAAGGAAATTTTTTTAAAAAGTAAATCTCTTTTTTAACAGATCTAGCCTTGTAGTTTAGTACCATAAACAGCCAATTACATATTTAATGCACAATTTCACTTATGTGGGCTGTATTGTGGCCTACTGAAAATTTTTACACATTTATAAAATATGCTTTTACGATTAGCATGATTTTTATTTTTACCATATAGCCCATCCTGGTGTGCACTTGCGATTGCATTAGAGCTCACAAATGTACTGACGTCCTGTCTTTGGTTCCTGTTTTCGTCTGTAGGCTTTTGGTGAAGCAGAATTTTTGAAATACCAGGAAGCTTTAACTGAACTGGCCTCTGTGTGAGTAAACACAACCTTTTTCTCACGGCGCTCCCTTACAGCTTTCCTTTTATGCTAATCCCGTCACGGAATGTTAATTATGCACCAGGAACAATCTGTTTCTCCCTTTGTTGGTTGTAGGGTCAAGTCTCACAGCAGCAGCGGCAGCACTCCGAGCCAGTACCACCAGTCTGCGGCCAAAGACCTGACCAGCACTACGGAGCCTGCAAGCTCCTCCTCCTCCCCCACCCAAACCACCTACCTCACATCTACAATGCAGCAGCGCAGCAAGCGGCCCAGACACTTCCTGGAGCTGAAGAACTTCAAAGACAACTACAACACTCTGGACAGTTCTTTCTGAAAATATGTAACACTAGTCCAAAAAAGAAAAGGTCAAGGACAAGGTAGTGCTGCCTGTGATTAAAGTGCCTTCAGAATGGCATGTTGCCAGATAGTTTAGAGTGAAGTGTTATAAGCACTGCCTTCATATACTAATACATATTGCCTTGTTTACAGTAAAGTGCATATCAGACTGCTGGCTTATGCGTATATCCAGTATTAATGCATGTATGAGTGCTATAATTGGGTAGAAAAATGACTATAGTAAGTAGGGTTGATTTGACCAAAACAAAACCAGAGCTATGGAGCTATGCAATGGCTAAAGACAATCAGTATTTATTGCACAATGTAAAGGCCTATGCCACCTTGTTCAACTTAACCAACTATATTTAAACATGCCAATAGTCAACACTGTTTGAAGAGAAAATCAGTGTTAACGATGCCTCACTGAGAGAACAAAAGACATTGTTTATGTCACTTATGTTTACGTCTGTGTATATCTCTGCTGTTCATTTGCTGCAGTGAATTTGACAGCCTATTTTGTTTAACATTAATTGTTTGTTTTCACAGAAGCCATACTTAATGATTTAATGTTTTGATGATTAAGTGCTCTTTTTGTTTAATCACTTCTTTCAGTGCAATGTCATTTAACAGTATTACAGTGCATTCATTTATGTGAGGTTTTGGATCGGGGGAAGTCTCTTTCTTGACTTTTGTAGACTGGCCCCCAGATGTCTTAACTGTGTGTTTTATTTGGTGTTCAGGGTTTCCAGGGAGGCATTGTCATGCCTGAATAATTTTATTTTCTGTGGTGTTTGTTGTACAAGTTGCCATCCAAATAAAACAGTAACAGTCAAACTATTTTGATGTTCTTACATTACAGTCTGTGTTAGTAGCACAATGTAGTGATTCTAAGTGTGTATAGAGTCCAGCAGAGGGCGCTCCCTTCATAGTAATCTTGAAAGTCCTTAAAGTAGGGCTAGATTCCAGTAAGAAGTCAAAAGAAGCATTGTTTTAATTTTCAGTAATTTATTCTGAAAACCACAAACACAGATAATAGATTAGAATGAACTTCATAAAAAAAATCTATCACACAATCTGTCAAGAGGTTCATTAATATAAATAAATAAAACAGAAAAGTTGTTAGGCAGAAATTCATTAATTAATATTTACAAACCGAGGAGACTCATCATCCGACATTGTCATTTGTACTGCTTCCTCACCGTTTCATAATGTGCTATAGTGTTAGCTTAAAAAAACATTTATTTAAAAACAGCTCTTTTCATCACAGATATTGACCTTACATAGGCTACAGTAATTATTTAGTTTAAAGTATCATACCATTCACTCAGCAAGGTGAACAGAGTCATGGGTGAGTGACTAATGAGGGCAAGCACACAGGATCTAGATCATGAGGTTAATGATTTTTTTCATGAAACCTTTAGTTTAGTTACCTATGTTTGCTACATTACTGTTGTATATGGACTACAATGTCATAACTCACTTTGGCAAAAGCTCTACCTTCCTGCACTTTGCTCAACAATTCTGTTTTGATAAAACAACGCCAATGTCATAAACTCAAAGGTTAAAAAATCTATCAGAACAGGGCAGTACAAGGAAACACATGCAAACAGAATGTAAAACTTCAAATGCACATCACCTGAATCAGTACGCTCAATGTATTTACATTAAAGTTGACATACACACACACACACTCATTCATAATCCACATGCTCAGACACAGCTAGCCTTAATGTGAGTGTGCCGCCAAAGGCAGCACAGTTTCCTTCAAAAGTGGGGTTAAAACGCTTCAGTGGAAGTGCTGATGTAGTTAAGAAAGTCCAGGAAGCTCAGCCCTGACACCCTAAATATCCATGCCATCAGATGTGTTGCTGTTTGGCTTCAGTCTGCGTTGAAAAGGTTTGGCAGCGCAGTCGCTTCATGACTTGATCTCGATTACTTTGATGAAAGGGAGTGGTTTGTTAGATGAGGTGGACGGCTTGATTGGTTTACTGAGGGGACAAGACAAAGAGAAATTACTTTTTATATTTATATTGATCAGTATGCATCTTATGCAGATGTACGTGAGCGTGAGTGAGCTTATTTGAGTGCTTGCGTCTACTGTTTTGGGACCTTTTTTTGAAAAGTGCAGGCTGAGATTTATAAAAGATGAGATCATTTGCTCTCGTGTTAATTAAGATCAATTTCACACAAATCGAAAGAAATGCCATAATTGTGACCCATGCATGAGCAGGAAAGGGCGCTTTAGGACTTGAATTTGTGTGCAATTTGCAAGGTTTGCAGCTGAAACTAGTTTGAAGGGAAAAATTAGTTACCTATAGACGATCTGGGGGTTGCGCTCTGATGAAAGGTAGGAATTTGACCTTTGTCCTCCCAGGAAGTAGTCCATCTGGTCATGCATCTCTCGGTTCTGCACGCAGAGGTGGTCAGGGGTCAGTTCACATAATACCAATAACAATTATGACCACCAAACAGACTTCTTCTTTTATATCTTCTCTCTTTGCAGAGATCAGGCCTTTTCTTCTCTCCCTCATTTACACTTAACCCTGGCCCTTCTATCTTTCTTCCACTGAAATGCCATAAAACAGATTTCATAGGAGAGGACAATAAGCAGTTCTCACCTCAGCCTCCAAGAAGGCCACTTTCTCCTCTAGCTCTCTGATCACGCGGTCCCTCTCCTGGATCACCATGCGGGAGTTCTGGAGCTATAGAGCGAGCAAACACACAGTCAAACAGTGAGTAAATCCTGCACAAATATGAACACGGAGACAATGTGTTTGCTCTATAGAGTCTCACACATGTGCGCCTCACCTGTTCAATCATGTGTCTGACTTTCCTTTGCTGGCTTTTCAGCATGTCATCCAGATGGTGGATCTTTTCTTTGAGAACAGCCACCTCCTTCTCCAACTGCTCAGCCCTAAAAATCACACACAGAGTTAGAAGACACTGCTCATGATTTGATCATCACTGATTTACTCTATTTGTGAGACGTTTGCTGACCTCTGCTCCCCTTTCTGGCCCTCCTGTCTGAGCTTGCTCAGTTCGCGGAGTTCCTCCTCGCGGTTGCGGATTGCCTCCCGCAGGGTGGCGCTCTCCTGCTCCATCCCTCCCAGCAACCTCTGGAGCTCTTCTATGCGTACGTCTTTCCTCATGCTTGCTTCTTCTGTGGTCTTCAACTTCTCCTCCTGGTCACTCAGGTGCTCCCTCAGCCTGCTGCCTTCAGCCTGGAAGAGACGGGAGAAAATGTGTTTGTTTGTTTAAAATGTGTCTGCAGTGCAACAGAAATGCAGTGAACATTATTTGTTATGATGAACGTAAAAATGAGCTGTATATATTTATCACCTGCAGCCTCTCTTTCTCCTCTTGGTGCTTCTTTTCTGCTTCCTGGAGCTGTGCATATAAGCGCTTGCTGACCTCCCTCAGCTTGTTTCTCTCTGCTTCTTCATCTGCTTCCTAATAGAGACAGAATGACATGATACATTAGCAGATAGATACTGTAATATCCTGAAGCAGAGCCCAGATCTTCCAACCCAAGCGGGCTGTTCACGCTTTGGGCTGTTCATACTTTGGCAACCTGACAGACCTTGAGCATACAGACTCCAATATAGACTTGGAGGGGGCCAGTACTTATGCAAACAAGTTTTTTGTACTTTATATCTGTAATTAATTTAGATCACTTTGTAGAGATCTATTTTCAGATTGACATTGAAAAGGTCAAAAAAGCCTGTAAAAAACTGTACACAGGAAATGCTTGAAAACAACAATATTATGATGGATGGATGGACAGATATGTACTTTTATGATGATGTAATGGAGAAGTCTTGTTTTAGTTTCATTCGAGCCATTATAAAGAAAACAGGCGTGTCAGTGTGCGTCACTGAAGCAGTTGGATCATGATCATGTTTCCTCTCCTATTTTTGCAGCACGCCTGTGCATAAGCCATAGCGTGACTCACAGATAAATGCTACAATTAGTTCCAAAATAATTAAGCCAAACACAGTGGTGTCGGCTCTGCTTTATTCGTACAAAACATCACTGCAAACAGTAGTGGCTGCTAAAAATGTGTGGCTCAAAGACAGCAAACAAACAAAAAAAAGAGAGACATCTGGAATGCTGGGAACAATGGGGAGGGCCTGAATACAATAACACATGAAGGGAGAGGAACAGTACTTGCTGAAACAGCTCTTTCACACATTTTTCATGCACCCCAGGGTGCTATATGCATTTTCCCCCTCTGCCGTCATTTTAATGTTCTCTTTGTCTCGTATATCAAATCTCCATTTGTCTCAATGTTTAACTTAACACCTCCCTTCTCCCCGCGTGCTTCTAGGAGGTGCTCATTTTACAGCAATCACACAAAACACACTGGCACACATTGTCCAGAGGAAACCATAGACAGTGGATTGTGGCAATGAAATGCACCTGAGATGTCATATGCATTGCTGTGAAATACTGAAAAGTCTAACACGTGTACTGCATTTATACACACACAATTGTGAATGGAGGTTGTGCACATGATAAACTGCTTACCTGTCCGTCAGATTTAGATTCTCCCTTGTGTGCAGACGAGCTGCTCTTTTTGAAGGGAACACTGACTTTCCACCCGTTTGTGAGCGGCTGGAAACATAAAAGGAGGAAGTCAGCAAGGAAAGAGAGAAAGGTGGAGGACATGCCATTCAGCACACAGGATGTAAGGCTAACAATGGTGATGGCACAACAAAGCAGCATAAAACAGACCTACCTTGTTTTTGGCTGCCATTTGCTCCCGCAGTGTCTTCAGGCAATACCTCACCTGTGTGAAATACAGAAATACTGTGAGATATTATCATATATTTTTTATGATATTTCAACATGTGTGAGTTTCAGGGTCTACCAAATGAGAGAGTCTGGGAAGTCTGAGAGCGAGGAGGAATTTACATGATGCAAAATTGTTACACAATCCAGGAGACAGGGTTGAGGGACTGTAACATTAGTGTGTGTTTGTGCATTAGTGAGACAGTAAGAGCTCCAGAAGATGCTGTCCAGAGACTGACCTCCTGTATCTGTGAAACTTCGTCTGACAGCATCTTCAGGCTCTCCTGGTGTTTCTGCTGCTCTTGCTTGCGGGCCTCTAGATAAACCTGAAACAGGGAGAGACACCGACGTTAAAACACCGACGTGACCACGAAACAAACACGCACCATTTATTTCTTCAAAAATAACCAGCCAATGTGTCACACCCACCTTGATAACCTCCACCTGCTCCTCTGTAGATTTGACCGGTTCGGGGATTGGAGATGTCCTGTCACTGGCTGGCTGCACAAGTGCAAACGCTCGTCCAATTGGCTGGAGGTTAGAGAGCAGAGGAGTTAACAATGCAGCATGCAATGTGTTGCGTGAGCATGGGTGGATTGGTGTGTGATACATTTCCAAACACATCATACAGAAAATGTGAGGAGTGAAGTCACTGCGCTTTGCTAACACTGGAGGAGGAGTTGGAGCATGTTTCTGAACGACGCTGCAACACACAGTATCAGCCAGGAGTACAATAACAATAATTAATTAATTAACAATAATTATGAAACATCTGTCAGGAACGTCTGACACGAATGATGCAATCAAACTATTAATAGGCAAAACTGACTACATCAAGAATATACTTCTCATCTCAGTCTTGTCCTGAGCAAATTATTCCTGTGACTATGATTCTCTATAATCAGGAGGCAATAAAACTTTAGCCATAATCACCATGGAGACTTAACCAAACACGTCTGGTGCTTCTTTGGGAGTCAGACTTGGTCAAAAACATAAAGCACGGGGGTGGGGGGAGGACAGACAGAAAAAAGTGTGTGTGTGTGTGTGTGGGGTTATGCAAATCTGCTGCTCCTGTGGTCCTGTTTTTTTTCTTTGTTACTTTGGCCACTGGTTTTGATAGAACAGTGGGTGTCTTGAGACCTTCTGAGTGGACTTGTGTGGGAAACACGCTGATGAAAAGCTGATGGCCGCCATGGTATGTTTACAAGCAGTTTGTGCCCATACTGTTTGTGTGTAGGAATGTGAAGTGATACATTCATGATTGTGCGGCAGCTCTAAGCGAATTCCTCAGGATCACTGAGAAGACTAACTGTGTGAACTTTCAGATCCAAATATGACCACATGATAAACACCTTCCCCTCTAAAGTAAATAGTGCTAATGTTTTTTTTTATCTCATCAAAAGAAATTGCAACAAATCTTACACCAAATCTGACCCTAGTCAATTTAAATGTAATAGCATAACATCTTAAACCAGATTCTTTGCTCGTATGTATCCAAACCATGCACTTAAAACAGTGGTGAATGTTATTCCACACAACTTTCCATCGCTACTCTCCTCTATCTCCTACAGTTATGATTTCCCAGGACTTGGTCTGTCCTCTGGTGTCCTGGTCCAGATTTTAGTAAGTGATCAGGTGCAGGAAGTTCTTACCTTGTTACTGTGCTGCTCTGTGCTCCCGGCTGCCTGGTTCTGGTTGTGCAGAGTGAGCCGCAGTCGCCTGCACCGCTCCTGAAAAAGGGAAACGAAGAAAGGAGACGATGAAAAGAATCCACAAAGAGGCTGTTATGTGATGGAGAGACTGATTGGGGACTATTTTGAGGAGGGAAAAAAAAGAGGAGGAGAGACTGAGTCATACTCATACTCAAAATGAAACAGAGGAGGAGTGAGAGAAGAGGGGGCAGTAAACAGTAAGAGAGAGGGGGTACAAGCGTCAGAGAGAAAGCAAAAGTTCCTCACAGCTGCACAGAGACAGATTGTTTGATTTAAATTGTGTGCTATGGACGTCAGTGGGAAACTCTCCAGGCACTCACAGCCAATTGGAAGCAGTGACTGGATTTCTGGGAAAGTGGGCAGAAAATGTAATGTCAAGCAAGACGGAACATTTCCATGGCAACAAAACCTCACAGTGGCCATAAACTATCTGGCAGGCACGATACAAGAGGGAGGAGTATGTCAGAGACAAAAAAAAGCAGATCCTGCACTTGTCGAACACTTTAAAAAGCAAAAACACACAAACCTTCCCAGTTCTTTTCTTTAAGTGACAGGAGAGAAGTCACTTTACCAGGAAAAGTCTTGACCGGGACGTGACTGGTTGTGTGTCTTCCAAGCACAGTGAACCCCCTTACAAGTGAGACCCAGTGTGTGTGTGCGCAAGTGTAAGTATGCGGAAGTGAGGGAGGAGGTCAGAGACATTAGATAACTCATTCTAGCCAGCACATCTTGTCCTGTTTATTTTCTCATGTGTATTCACTGTGTCCTCCTTGTGTCTAAACTCTGAGACAAGCGATAGGCGATGTCCTGAGGTTAAATGCTATAAACATAAAGAAATGCACACATGCACCCAATTACACACACAAAAAAAGCGCACAGACCCAAATCATCAGATTCACTGGGGACAAATCATATTGACCATGAAGCATGTTTGCGTGGGTGTGTTTGTGTGTGTATATATCATCATCTGTTTGTCTCGATTTAGCCTCTTGTTGTTATGTAATACTTTTATTTCTTTGTTTTGTTTTGGTACATAACCTGCAGCTCAAAAACGCCCCCCAGCTACTTGCATGTCCTGTTTAGACAAGAAAGCTGAAAACAATCTCACCTCCAGGTCCATTTAGTAGCGGTTATTGAGCTTTTGATCACATCACACGATCTTAGTCAGCAGATGAAGTTTGCCCACTTGGCGTGGAATAAGGTGTTCAAAATTTCAGCATCTACAATTACGTGATGTAATCGAAAGCTCCAGAACAGCAACTAAATGGACCTCAAAGTGAAAATGTCTGCAACTATTTCTAGGTTCCAGTTGTAAGGATCTGATTTTGTTTTATGTGATAATAAATTGAATATTTTTAGGTTTTTTACTGTTGGCTGGACAAAAGAAGACAGTTGATGATATCAATTTTGGCTTTCAGGAAACAATTGGATTTAAACTCAATTGTTTTTGATGATGTTTACAATAAGAGAGCCCATCAATCTGAATAAGGGCACTCCTACTGTATCTCCCACTCTGTATAGAAACCATGTCTGATATGCATATCCTTGATGTTAGCCAGACAGAGGAAATGACCTTATTTTGCTGTGTACTGCGGTGATAAAGAGTGGTGAGAGGTTATAAAAGAAAAAGATCAATAGACCACAGAAGACCTATGTGATTATCAGGAAGTACAGTAATGGAGAAAAAAGCAGAGGGACAGAAAAACGCAAGAAAAATCAGAAAAAAGGAGAGTAAACTGACAACAAGAACAATAAAAAAAGTCAGAGGAAATAGCTTAATAGACAGTGGTGGTGTCTACCTATGACAAAAAAAACCTTTCTTCAGCATGCTTTTCTCTCAGATTACAGACACCTGAAAGCTCTATTAAGACTCAGTGTTTAGGGAGAGGAAAAGAGAGGAGGGGGAGAGAAAGGGGGAACAGTGAGAGGTAGGAATCCATTATTATACAACTTATCTGGCCCTTCATAGCCGACTAAACAAATACTCTGCTAATCCTCGCTCTGCCATCGACTACTTACACGCCAGTCCTTCTGCCTACTCTTTTATATCCACACACACACACACACACACAAAAATGCAATCTCTACCACCTTCAAAGACAACCTGTAATTCTAGACTTCCTGGGAACACAGACAAAGGGACCAGTTAGATGTGCTCGTGGACTGTGACGTATGCATGCACGTGTACACGCAGGAAAACACACACAGTAGCCCAAAGTACACAGTACCTTTATACAAGGGCAGAAACCTGAAACTAAAACACACACACACACACACAAACACAGCATCCACACTGCTGGATGCACCGACAATTGGCACAAAAGATCACGGGGTATGACCAGGCTGAAAGGCTTAAAAGGGTATGAAGATGCTTTTGTTTTAGACTTTGGCGTCAGGAGGCCCGTAAATCATCTGAGTTGAGTTAGCTCAACAACCTGGGAATGTTGCTGATGAACAGACAGAGCTGCTGAATTTGGGCCTAAAGAACAAGAGGTCCTTTAGAGCTTTCTGCCACTTTAAAAAAGCACCTGATGTAAGGCAAGGCAAGGCAAGTTTATTTGTATAGCACATTTCAACAACAAGGCAATTCAAAATGCTTTACATTAAACATAAAAACAACACAGGGAAACTGAAATAGAAACACATTAAATTATAATTTTGAAAAGGGTGAATAGAAAATAAAAACAGGATTTAAAAAACAACAACAACAACAACAAAAAACAGGGTAAAACAGGACAGTAAAAGTTTCAGTGCAGTGTACAATCAGGGTTAAAAGAGTTAAATAGAAAATAAAAACAGGCTGAGGGGTTGAGCAAATAATTGAGTTACAATTAACTCTCTTTGAAAAGAGAACAAACAGAGAAGTATCTACTTTCTCTAGCTAGTCTGTCCACTGCTTGGACACTACAGAGAAACCAGGACATGTCTGTCCGCAGGCCACTTTGATCCAGTTATACTCACGCGACCCACTTGCGCGTTTACAGGTGGGCTGCGGGTCCTGCAAATCACTCTGGCGCGAGATTTAAGACTACTTCCTTCACTCTGTTCAATCTTACTCTCTTTATCTTTTCACTCAATCACCTACTCATTTCTCACTGTCTAAATGGTGTTCACTGAAAATCTAAAAACAAAGAAAAAGAAAACAGGACGTTACAGTGCAGTGAAAGTCACTAATCTACGGCTTTAAATTTGATTTAATTAAAGGCATAGGTAAAAAGAAAAGTCTTCAGTCTTAATTTAAAAGAACTGACAGTTTCAGTAGAATTGTTCAGATTTCTGAGCTCAGGCAGCTGCAGGTATCATGGCCACAAACAGTAAAACATCCTTGTGTGCCTCCAGGTGTAGTACCTGCATTCCACACAAAAAATCCTCAAGCGTGAGTTCGTGTGAGTGTGTGTGTGTGTGTGTGTGTGTGTGTGCGCGCGCGCACTCATCCATTAAATCATTCTACCCCTCTCACAGCTACTTTCTCATACCTACTGAGCACACACTGTACCTGCTCCAGCTTACAGACCTCGGGCTCTAGGCAACAGGTGTGAGCCGACTGGGGACAGAGCTAGTGCTGCAGGTACAATTTTAAATACTAAAATACAATACAAGAGTTTTGACACCTTACCTAAAAGAATTTATGTATATATAAACTTTTTTTATAAGCATTACTTGCCAAACACGTCAGTACATCAATGTTTTACAGCTCAACTTTGCAAAGTTATGACTGAGATCAGGAAATATTTGATCAAAGAAGAAGTTAACAAGATTAAGAATCTAAGCATTCAATGCCAACGTTCGTAATGAGGTTCAATATCCCACCTAAGCAGGTACTAGTGAGTTTTATTACTAGTGAGCCTCATGGATTAGTCCATTAATTGATTGGTCAATCATAGGTAATAAATTACCTTTGGGTTTTGAACTGACTGTGACTTAGAAGTCTGGGAAATTTTTCCACTTTTTAAAATACTAAATGATAACTTGGTTAATTAAGGAAATAATAAGCAGATTAATCAGTAATGAAAATTATTTATTTTTTGCAGCCCCAGTATATTCTATATTCCTTATGTGTACACATACCTGGCAAAAAAGCTGATTCTGATTCTGATGTAAGTTAAGCATGTCCTGTCTTAGGATTAAACAACCCTTTAGTTTTGAGCTGTATTTCCCAGGGTAATGAGGGGAATGGGGCCCTTTAATCAATCAGCATTCTGTGCAAACTAAAGGTTAAAGGCTGAGTAATCTTTAAAGGGAAGAGACAAGCTGAGGTGTGCAGTGAACTGCTGGATGGTTTGAGTGTGTATTGCCATCATGTGAGAACCTGAACATCTGACGGAAAAGAACTAGTCCAGGATCTGAGTCATGAAGTGAGAGCTGCCAATATAGGACAGCGATAGAATTTCAACAATCACCCCACAATCAATAATAATCTCTTTGGTTTTTTTCCTACTCTGTGTGGCGTGCGAACCAGGTGTGCTCTAGCATAATCCAGTCGCTCCTCTACATAGATGCATTTATCTGTCATGTTTGGCTCATTCCCAGCCAGTAACGTCAGACTCTCCTGACTTGAGGTGGTGACTGAGGATGAGGGAAGACAGGAGGAATGTGTTATGTCACACAACGTATGGAAACGAAATGTCTGGAGGAATAATTGTGACGGATTTTAAAAAGTGCCCCCACGTAAAACAAAAAACAATCTTTTCAATATGTAATTGGTTTTTAGGGAGGAGACATTGTGCCACACGTTTCAAATAAGTTTTAATTAATAGCTGAAAAATTTTAATTTTGGTAACTATTCAACAACTTTATAGGACATTTTGTTCCAAAGTCAGGTGTCATCCTGTGTTTTAAATTGCATCATCATAGTTCCAGGAAACACACGTATCAGCAAAACCACCAGTGAAGGCCTTTCTCTGCTACATCAGGCACATTCCCTCTTCTCGTGTACAATACAAAATGACATGCTTACTGATTAAACAGTAACACTGATGCTTTATTTAGTCCAACTTGACTAACCACATCAGATATGTAAATATTGTAGGTGGGTGGCTATTTGACTATTGCATTTGACATTGATAAGGATGAATTTGTTTTCTGTATGAAGCTGATGCAAATGCCGCATGTTAAAACGTAATGTATGATACATTAAACAGAAGCTGAACAAATATGGAGTTTCACAAATTGCTTCATGACACATTCCTCAACACAAATAATTAGTTTATTATGTGTGTGAGTGGAGCTGCCCTTTGTACACTTTGACCTTTCAGGCAGTTGTACAGTTACACAAGTAACTGATATTTAAGTCTAGACTTTAGACAAATTCTGGTCTTGTCTTGATTTTATTTTACAAGTGCTTGCTCATGGTGGGAATTGTTTGGTCTCTGTAAATAATATTACACAGAGTAAGGTCGACCCTGTTCTACATGAAATGTGCAATGAGAGAATGAGTTGGCGCTATATAAATAAAACTAAATTGAATTGAATAATCATGGTTGAGATTATAGTGCCTTTCTTTAGAGAAAGAGCCTGATCTGATTTCAGTGGGCTGCTGGCAGGTATTGGACTCTCCTGATAAGGTGAAAGTGTCATGTTGCTCTGCAACCTCATAAACCTCAGTGTAGGTTAACAGTTTGCTTTTTCAGGTGAGGTAAATGATTAAACCTTTGTTGCCACAGATATATGCTAAAACCTTTCTACTGTACGTGACATGAGCTGCTGATTACTCATTTACAAATAACCAGTAAAGTGTGCGCTGCAAATACAAGAAAGTGTGATGTTTAATCCTGTTTAACAAAACTTCACATGCACAGGTGGCGCACAAGCAAAGCTTTTACAGCTTTGTTTCCTGAGCTGCCTTCACTGTCTGTCACAACTGCAACTGTAAGCCCTTAAATGATGTGGGCAGAAGGCACCTATGACAGGCACAGATGTTATCTGGACTAATGCTGAGCTGCTGCCTTTATGTGTGTTGGGACTTGGGGTGTGGGTAGGGGCTAATACTTTAATTACTGCAAGGCCATAGACACCACCACTTAGAGCAGATGAAGCCTGAAGATCTGTGGCAGATCCACAAAATTTCACACAGCCTCCAAACCAGCATCACACAAGTGAGTAGAGTCATGTGAACAAACAATAAAGAGAGAGAAACTGAAACTTAGCTTACTTTAACATAAAACATTACGACAGATCCAAACATGAGGATTGGGAAAAATTAACCTTTCGTTTTCAGGTCGATTCATCAATTGCATCTTTCACCATTATGTATCCATACAGAAAATAAACACACAGAAATACACGCCTATTTATCCATAAGTAGCCTAGATCAAGAAAAAGACAAATAGCCTGCTAATGATATCGAGTAACTTACCCCATATTCTTGATTTCTGATGTCCTCAAATGTGCACAGACTTCTCGTCACCCCGTTCATCTTTAACAAAGATATAATAAATACCCCCCACACAAACAAATAAATAAATATAAGCGAAATCTAGGCTATATAAAGCTCAGCTGGAAGAACTTTCCGGTGCCTCTCCACAGTAGCTGCTGCTGTTATCAGTGTTCAGCCTGGTATATTCATGTGTCTGTTCCCTCCCGTCTCTCTCTCTCTACCTCTCAGCACATTGTAAGAACTTTTCTCCTCACGTCACTGTGGGAGAGAGCGACAAAAACCAACCCGCCCACAAACCGACCGAAAGAGCCAAATAGGGAACTGTGGAAAGAGGGAATAGCGGTGAAGGGAGGGTCAGGAGGTACTTGCTGCATCCGGCACAACAATTTCTGCAACAATAACCTCCAGAAACTTTACACCATAGTTATAACATGATAGTGGTATTATTAGGCTGGGCTGTAAAATGCTCAGGGAGATTTTTTTTTAGTGTAAAACACTGAAGTTAACCACCCCTTGGTGGATTGTCAACTCCAGCTAAATGTTGCGCACTACAGTGCACTGCTCAGTTTACCAATAAATTATTAATTCAAAAGGTTAAATCCCTGACTGAACCTGTTTAAGATGTGTCTCCTATCAGCTTACACAGCAGTGGAAAGCAAGATATTAAATTTAGTGATTTAAGGCATCTTATAAGACAATATATTTTTAATTCCTCTTTTTTTCAACAGAATTGAAAAAAAATTACAAATAATTTAAAAAACATATTTTTTGCACATTAATGACAAACCCCAAATAGTTTGCTCACCAATATCACCAGTGGTTTTCTAAAGAGCCATACAGGCACTGACAGAATGAAAATGGATGTTTTGTCTATTTATTTGAAGTGCTTATACAGCATTAATGTTAGACATTCTGAACAACATATTTCCAGAGTTGACTGAGGTCACGCAACAGGGACAAGATGACAAAGTAACACAACTAGTTTCTCTTCTGGCATTAAACTGATTCCAGCAGCAGCTGACCGAGGCTGACACAGATCTCAAATTGGATAAAGACTTTAATGGAATTAATGGCTGTTGAGGAGCAAACAACAGCTCGCGGTGGCACACAAGGGATGACACTAAATTAATTTGAACCAGGGGCAGAAACAAGTTCACACAAGCGCACACAGAAACAATACGCATATGGAAACAAAATGTGGCTAAGTGTCACATTTTTCTCAAAAGTGCATTTTTTAATCAGTAAATATTTCAAGTTAATGTAATGTAATGTTAATCTAATGTCAGCGGGTGTTGTTTCTTCAATAGTTGATTTATCATTGGGAACAAGGCTGTCCCACATGCACACGTTTGCAAAACCAGAACACTGACAAACACACCTAAACCTCACTACAGTATGTCATCATGTGTCCCCGGCACTGAGCCACAATGTAAGCCATAACTATGAGTTTACATCACACAGTTGACCACACTCAGACAGACTGATCCAGAGATCAGACAGCAGACAGTTACAGTGTGAGAGGTCTGTATGTTTACATACATCCATGTCTGAGAGTGAGACCACATTGTGAGTCAGAATCCTGCTATTCGTTCACACTCCGTCTCTTCTGATGAGACTTCACTGATCTTCTTCATGGTATTTAGTGGAGCACAACTTGACTTATAATATCTAAAAAAAAACATTTTTGTACTTAGCACAAATGAGCCATCTATTATCTATCACTCTGTTGGGTTAGTAAAGTGTTTTAGGCTCAGGGTACACTGTAGTTTTCACAAACAGAAGAATCTGAAAGTGTGTATTGGAAATACATTCATGTGTTTGAATGGCAGCAAGAAGAGGTTCCACCAGACAAAAAACTATTTCACCACCACCTCAATGAGCAGATGTGATCATTTAAACAGTGGCTTGTTTTTATCATATGTAAAATGTTTTTTTTTGTGTGTGTTGTTTTAGACATCGTTCTCACCAGAAAGAGATAAAATTAAAATTACGCAGATTGTTGAATGTGTGCAACCTTTTGGTAGAGGATCATAATATAAAAATTGTGTGGTCAGTGGAGGGAAAAAAAGTATTCAAAAGTGCCCAAACAAAACAACAAAGTAACACTAAATGAAATATTATTTTAAATAAATAAATAATGTACAGTATTGTTTGGTCATTGCCATTAAAAGTTATATATCCAATCAGATGACCAGAACAACAGTGCTAAAACCAACCAATAAACAGGAAGAGACCAAAAACACCTATGGTAATAAGTGGTCAAGGGTTAAAAGTGCACAAGAGTGACACATAGTCATTGTGTTGTGATAAGATGATGTTGCTTTCTCGAAAACAATGATGACACTATGTATGTAGTCATATACTCTGGTTTAGCAAAGTGAACCTCATAGGGAAAGGTCATCAGGATTGCCTAGCAAGCTTCCTGGAATGAACTTTGTAATTTGGTGTTAATTATAGCCTACAGAAAATGAAGAATGTTCTGTTCAGTATTTTTAATTATAGTTTAGTTAGTTGAGTTTACAAGGAGGAGCTGATGATTTCTAGAGGAATTTTCGCAATTTAACTAGCTAGCTAGCTAATTAAATTAGATAAAATCTAAATGTTCTAACATTTCGGAGACTTTCTTTGTGTTGTCATGACCTCAGTATTTCTTAAATGCTGACCACAGCCCTGACTATCATGTGCTGTTGAACACAAGTATAAACATTTACAGCACTGATGTTCTAAAATGATTGCATTCTTCTCCCTCTCCTAATCTTTTTATTTGTTTAATACAGAACAATTAAAACATGTTTGTCATTGTGTCTGAGGAACTGCATCCAAGCCTCCCACATCTGGAACACCTTGAGGCAGATGGGAATGTTCTTTACAGTAGGGCTGCGTTCTTTCTGAGCAACCATATGCAATAGCAAACATGTCATGATTTCAAAACACAACAAGCACAGCTCTTGGCAATTCTGTACTTATGTGAAAAGTTGGGCCTGGAAAACTGGAATTATATGGAAACCCAATCCCACCCATGGAAAGTATGTTCAAACGTAATTTATAGTCTAGCAAAACAGGTCCTGTACACAACACACTGGCACTGTACAGGTTTGGTCACACTGGGTGGGAGGTGTAGTATCTTGGACGCTGCATCTGGTTCTACAGCAAATATTGAAGGTGTGACTTCATGCCAACACATTAGTTCCAAGTACAGAATATAAAGGTCAATTCCCAGCAACCAGGAGAGGAAATGGGCCTTTTCAGGTCTCTTGTAGATCAATCACACAAAAGCACCATGGGAGGTACAGTACAGTAAGTTGAAAACAGCAAGAGAGCTGTACACCACTGAGGCCCAGCAGCCACTGTGGTCTCTGAAAATAGTCAAACACAGTCCTGTTACGTGTGTCAATGTGCCAAATAGGATGTAAACACATAAATAACCCAAGGAGTTGACGAAGTCTCCCTCCAGGGTGGTGCCTTTCATCTCTTTTTCAAATGTAGATGTCTGAAGTCCTAAAAATGTTTTGGCACGAAGCAAAAAGGTGTCGATGTATTCCCATCACCGTAAAGAGATTTTCCTGAGATTTTGAGGTGAGCTGGATTAACGGTGATAAGTGGGTTTATCGCTTGATGTCGGATTTTTTTTTATAAATATCTTGTAGTTCTGTAGAAGTTTCCAGTTTTTAACCTGCTTTCACAGGGATCTCAGTTAATCCAGTACATTCCTAACATGCCTCACCCTGTGGTGCTCCTGCCACAGGTCCAACTTCAGGAGACAGGCCTCTTGTAGTAGCCTGCATCTCACCTCATCTTGATTAGGCAATTTAAACTTCAACAAACAGACATTACTAATAAGTCTATAAATCTAGTGAAGGGTGTTGCAGGTGGGCTGTTTAGTATTTCGCCAACATCTCTAGGGTCAGTCAAGAAGGGTTTATGACTGAAGTGGAGGCCCAAACGTATCATCCAGGTGTTTTTGAAAATTGTAGATGTGTATATCTGTGAACTCAGGCCTCTTCTATTAAGACGTCAGCTCAGTTGATTTCTGCCATGCACATTTCATATCACAGTTACAATCAAAATCCAGATTTCATTCTGGAAACCATTACATTCGGTAACATTCAGAAAAACAGCACTACAGTCTGGGTTTTCAGAAGTAGGATAGGTTTTCCAGATTTTAGGTTTATCCACATTTGTGTGAACACAATAATCACGTGAATGTATGAATGTGTCCACACACACAGGAACACAGGTCTCTTGTCTCAATACATCAGCCATAATGACTTCATCCCAGAACGATGCCTATGCCCACAGTTGTAATGAACAAAAAACAATTCTGCAACAAGAGATAAGAGGGCAAAACAACAACACTGGCACTCAGCCGTGGCCTCTACAGGATCAGTGAATGACATGTGAACACCTGCTGCTTCTCTGTTGGAACAGCTAATACAAACACAACAGTATAGGTCAAATCAGTCTTGTGTCTTTGATGGGTAATGCAGCACGCCTCCGTAGGTGTTATTGAATAACTCATTCAACAACACACTTCTGTGTAACTCGGGCATTGATAACAAACCCACATTCCAGAGAACCACTGGCCTGCTTCCAAAACAAATACATAAGCAGTCTCTTTATTCTTTTGAAGTTATCTTATATGCTCCTTCAAACACGGTAATGGTAGCGTTTATTATTTGTCGAATGTGAATAGGGTTCTGCTTAGATTATAATTGCCAAAAGTTTGTGGGTTTTGTCTGTCACACAGATTGTTCATCCAACCCACCTGTTCAACATTTAACTCTTTTATGTAGAGAAGAGAGCTGTGTCACACGGCTACAAATACATTATATAGTATTAAATCTGCAATAACTTTTTGGTCACTTGGGAGCTGCAGAAAGAAGTTGTAAAAAACACTGACAAGTTGATAAGGTGAACAGTTAATTATTTACACATCCAGTAGTTATGGAGCAAAATGATCATTCATCTGAAGTCGTGTTTCTGGCCGCCTGATGGATGTGAGTCCAATATTCACTTGTTTGTTTTTTATCCTAGTACTGTTATCAAGGCAAACTTCTGAGTCTTTCAACAAACAAAACACAATTGGAACATTATACTTGCATCAGGGCACTAAATCAAACCCAGTTTTTTCATTTTGATTATTACATGAAATTACAACATTATGGAGATTTTGAAATACATTTTAGGGGTTAAAGAGTTGTTGACTTTATCCAACAGTGAGCTTTTCCAGT